CCACAAGCACACGCTGCAGGAGAACCGAAGGCTCAGGAAGAAGAGGGAGGAGATGCGCCAACAGGTTGCACTACTGCAGGAACAGGTAGTGCATTCATTGCCTTTTTACATGTATGCAGTGACACATGCATAGATATGCAGAGACTGTGAATACTCTAGCCTCCAACTACAAACAAACATGTATGTTCTAATGTATGTCGGACTGATGAGAAATAAGGAGTGACAGGAATAGATTTTTTTTTTTTCTTTCTGACTGCTTTTAGAAATTGTTTTAAAATAATAATCTCGTTCATTTCTGCGAAATCCTTTTAGCTCAAGATCTACGAGGACGACTTCAGGCGGGAGCGGTCCGATAAACAGATGCTGCAGCGACTGTTGTCGCAGAAAACCTCCCAAAACAAGGACGCCGTGCTTGTCCACCGCTGCAATAACGAGCAGCAGCTCCTGGAGGGAGAGAAGAGAGCACAAAGCGGGGAGAAAAAAAAGCAGCACCACCCACTCTGCCCCAAGCATCCCAACAGGGACAAAGAGTCCAGCTAAAACACCAGCAAAGGATACAGCTATGGGCTTGTCAACGAAAACTGTTGATTGGTTTTTCATAACCAGCGTTCGTTTTAGGTTAATAAGACAAGAATTCTGACAAATGTAGAAAACGAAAGTATGAATTTGTATTGACTTACATTGAAAAAAATAGTGTATTTTTGTACCTTATTTAATGCATCCATCTATTTTCTTATATATATTTTTGAAGTACTTTAACATGTGTCTAGTAACAATTTTTTGATGTTCTTAGTTAATTATCAGAGTAGCTCTTTGAGAGAATGTTCCACCAAACAATGTCTGTAAGTTTAGATTCAGGTTTTCTTCAAACCCCCGCAAAATACTTTCATGGTACAGAGGGAGGGCACTAAACTTTGTAATGGCATTATAAACGTAGTTCAGTAGTCGTAAATTAAATCTGTTAAATGATGCTCTGTTTTTGAACAATTTAATCCAGTTGTTTCCTGCTTGTTTTTCTCCAGCTGAAGTGACCGCTTTGCAAATTTTACCGCACATGGTTCCTGTAACAGAAGGAAATACTACAATATAATTTAAGACCAGGGGTGCACCGATTCCAGTTTTCTAGCCAATCACCGATTACCAATCTATTAAATATACTGACCTGCCAATTCCGATTTTGGCCAATACCAAATTTTTTTGTCTAAAATGTTGCTAAATATACCAAGAAAGTTGATGAGTTGCCAGCAGTGAGATGATTATTGTTAACTGCAACCATATAAACTTGATCTGATGGGCCTGTCTGCTAGTCAAACCTCTCTCACATCAGAGCAGAAGAAGATAGAAGTTGATTTAAATACCTTTGCAGAGATAGATAAGATCAGTAGATAAGATCGGCTTCACATGTAAAAATCGGCCTATCACCGATTTTCCAAAATTAGGGAAATTGACACCGATAAATCGGTGCATCCCTAATTAAGACAACCACAAATTTCAGACTTTTATCTTTCAGAATTTATCTGATGGACCATTACAAAGTAGTGCATGATTGGAAAGTTGAAAGAAATAACGTTTCAGAATTTTTTCCAATCTGGTGTGCATTTATATTTTGCTCCCTTGGATCAATACTTATTCGTCTTTCCAAATTGCTCAAATGTAGAGATTGAACAGAGAGCATTTGTGAAGTCTTGTCACAGGTACACAAGTGGATTTAGGTCTGGACTTTGAATGGGCCATTTAACACACAAATATAATCCAATCTAAAATATCCATTTAAACTTTATAAAGTATTTTCTTCATAAACTGTTCTGTGTTTAGCTCCATCTATTAAATCTGCATCTTCTCTGTCTCTGGTGAGAAAGAGCTTTGCTGCAGGATTACACTGCCACCATGTATGCTAGTTCCATGAAGGGAAGATTTCTGGAGTTTACAACTTTACTCTGTTAAATGACTTTTCCACTTATGCTGTGGATCTCTGTATCTCCTCCAAAGTTACCATGGGCCTCTTGGCTGCTTCTCTGCTCTCTTTTCTCTCTCCTGGTCTTTCACTTTACATTGTGCTATATTATTCCCTTCATTATCATGCAGCTGTTTGGGCAGCGAGAAATAACAAATTCATAACACTGAACTGATTTATTTATTTACACAGATGTTGATACATGACTTCTAAAGTCAGTTTGTGAAATTAGATTTTACTGAGGGATTTCAAAGTTAATCAGGCTGAAGATAAATTGATGCTACAAAGTTGCATCATGTATAATTTCTTTCCACTTCATTAGAAACTTCACTATACCTGTATGTTGGTTTGCCACATAAAATCCAAATAAAACATACAGCAGTGTGTGGTTGTAATGTGAACAAATTTTAAAACTTTCCAAGTTCATGTATGAATACTTTTACAAAATACGGAGACGTGATCTGAGTGCAGGTGCAAGCCATGGGCAGCAGGGGGCAGAAGAACCATTTAAAAAGCGTTGTCAATATGTAAATGCAGGTAGAAGTTATGGACAGTAGAGGGCAGCATTGGGAAGCATTGTGTCAACACTTGAATGCTCCGGTTTCTTTATTGACAGTAATGCTCAACTTCAGTTATTTACGGGGGAAAAACACTTATTTTAATCCACCTTTTTATTTTGTTCTCCAATTGAATCTGTTTATTTAAAACAAACAAAATATCCACACATTTTACAAATAGAAAGAACAGCTAATGTATCTTCAGGACCTTGTCCATCATCCGGCCATTCAGCAACAACCAACAGAATATAAGGTAATGCTAACTCCATTACACATCGTATTTAAAAAGCTACCAATGTAAAAACTGAGGAAAATGAAAAACATAATTGTTTATCACTTGCAAAAATATAAAACAATGACTAAAAGGCAGTAACGTTGAATGAAATTATTTGCTGTAGTACAGTATAGTCCTTACTCCATTTAAATCCTGATTCAGGATTACACGCTAATCACAAACATATCTGATCATTGTTTTATTTGTGGATCCTTTAAACAGGAGCAGGATATTTATGTTGACATAGTCATGATTCCTTAGAAAGTGCAGTGACTCATAAATACACACTTAAAATGCCTAAATTAGCCTTTATTTCCTAAAAAGAAGTTACTCGGGTTACTGTAAGTTATAACATTTAATTACTCACCAGACTTGCGTCATTTTCAAAAGCAGTTTTAAGTCATTCAACAGAAATACTTTTTATTGCATATTTTAAGTCAATTGCATGAAGTTTTCCCATTAGAAAAATTTATTGGGGAAGCATCATCAGAGACAAACTGGAACACATCTAAATGGCTGCTTATTATAACTGAACATATTGTTTATTATGTATTAATTGATCTACTGTTCTTTAAAAAGTAGAGTACTGCATTATATACATTTTGTTGTAAGCGATTCATAAAAATTCCCTTGACCAGAAAGATTCCCGAAACGCCAGTGAACCCCAGACCTTCCCTTCACAGCACATCGTCCTTGTTTTGTAGGTTTTCCTGTTGTTCCGTACCTTATTTGAATGAATGGGTCACTACCAGGGTTTTGCAGAAATTGCTGATAAATGGACAAGATGCAATCATCTGAATCAGGTGTCCTGGGGCAGACACACGTTTAAACTATGCCCTGACGACTAAAGTTAGTCACCACTGTTTTACACTTTGGAAGCACTTTGCAACCAATCTGTGGTTCACAGTTGTCTCCATTTATAATTTCACAAATTTTCATAGCAAATACATACATTTACATATTTTGTATGGGCTACATCCAACTTGACAATCCTGACACTTAAAATAGAATCACCTTGACAGAAAAAAAAAATGTAATTTTATTTTGTATTTCTGTATTTTACTTTTTTTTTTGTTTATTTGGTAACACTTTATTTGAAGGGGGTTGAATAAGACTGAGATGACACTGTCATAAACACCTGTCATGAACATGAATAAGCCTTCATGAATATTTATGACTGTTGTCATAAAGCGTCATTCGGTAAATTATGACACTTTTAATACAAAGTTGACATTATTCAAAATGTCTATTATGACAACTTGACATTAACCAAGAAATCATTACTCATATAAATTTGTTATAAAAGTATTACTGATTGCACTTTAAAAATGAGGTAACTTTATGTTATTTAAGGTAAAGTTTAAACAGTAATGATTTCCTGGTTAATGCCAAGTTGCCATAACAAAGACATTTTGAATAATGTCAACTTTGTATTAAAAGTGTCATAATTTACCGAATGACGCTTTATGACAACAGTCATAAATATTCATGAAGACTTATTCATGTTCATGACAGGTGTTATGTCATGTTTATGACAGGTGTTTAAGACAGTGTCATGTCAGTCTTATTCAACCCCCTTCAAATAAAGTGTTACCGTTTATTTTAATTTCCTCTAAGAATACACTTGAAATGAATTGGTGCGGTATAAAGTGAAAATAGAATAATATATTTTTTACATATTTATATATGTTTTTTATTACAATAATACAGGCAGTGGGGTTGATGTGCAGTTCACCCAAGGATTCAGGAATCAGTGGTGGAGTGTCAAGGTGGACCCTGGCATTGACATCCAATGAGAAATGGTAAGTTTATTACTTACCAACTTGACATGGCTAGTAAAGCCACAAGAAGCTGCTGAATCACTTAATTTAAAATTGCTGAATTTCTAATAAATTTTTATGCAAACTCTTTTGATATCCATGTATGTATTTTGTTTAGAGAAGTCAGTCTCTAAACAAAATATGTAGTAAACATGTAGTAAAATACATGGAAAAAGTATTTTACTACATATAAGTTTACAATTGCTTTTCATACTGTAAAGCTTCTAAAATGCTAAGCATAAGTACAAATTTTATTTTAAATGTGCGTGATTTATAACTACAGAAGAAAATCTGGTTTAGAAAACGTCTTCAATCAAAAAAAAGGGTGTGTAGTCTTTTCAGTTGATTGTGTATACAGCTGAAAGATTTCATAAGTGTAAATAATAAAAAAATGATAATATTCAGAAAGCATTTTATTGAACATTTAAAACAATCCACACTGCAACAACTACATTAAAGCTGTATTTTAACAACATCCTCATGAACACATTTGATGCATGTTTTAAACAGGTATGTGCAATCAGATATGTAACGAAACTCTTTAGGCAAGTTTCAGTGTTTCTTGAACCATGACGCCGATTCCATCAAACACTTGGTGAAAGGGAGCGTTGCACATGAAGGCAGAGGTGGTGACCAGCTTGTTCTTGACATCAACGTGAGCTTCATCCACGTCTTTGTTCACGTGTTTGCAGCCCATGTCCTTCAAAGCTCCAGCTGTCCCAGCAAACGGCCACCTGAAGATAAAAACCAAGTGAATGATCACACAAAATCCATTAAACTAACATTTTCCTAACGTGAACAGAGATTTACATACTTTTCACACTCTTTGTCCTGCCCCACGGTGAGCTCACAGCCAGGCAGCAGCTTTGCAGCCAGGACAGGCGAAATGCAGCACATGCCCAGAGGCTTTCCTGCTTTGTGGAAATCCTTGATGATCTTCTCCAGATGTGGCTGGACGGTGCAGCTCTTGTTCTTTACAGCCCAGTCACTCAGGTTCTTAGCCACACCAAACCCTCCTGATAGAGAAAATAGGGGTTTGTTCAGAAACCTACATTGAAACATTAAACAGAGGAGCTTCACACAGGTTCCTCTGAGTTTATACAAGATGAACTCACCTGGAATGATGGCAGCATCAAACGCTGAGACGTCCAGCTTGGCCAGGTCTGTCACGTCGCCCCTAGCGATACGAGCGCTTTCCTGCAGGATGTTCCTCTTCTCCTCAGTAGGTTTCCCCACGCAGTGATTTACAACGTGCATCTGATCTCCGTCTGGGGCAAACATCTGCACCTGAGACCAAACATTTTGAAAATTTTAACCTTTCCAAAATGCTATTATTTTTAATAAAGTTGTTATTTTCAGAAAATTAACAATTTAGAAATATTTTTTTGCCCTTTCTTGTCCTTACTTTTGCTCCAGCGCGACTCAGATGGACCAGGACGGCTGAGGCCTCGTGGATCTCTGTGCCATCATAGACGCCACAGCCGGACAGAATAACTGCAACACGCTTTGCCATGATTACTGAAAAACACACTTTATCGTTTTTAAAGATGCAGAGAAACTTTAACCTTTTTTAAAAGTTTTGTCTTTTTTTCCATCAATATATGCAGAATAACCAGTATAAGTGACTAAGAGCCTGCAAGAGTTTAGATAATTATTTACATAGCCAGTCGAAAAATGAGTCACTGGAGCATTGCTGCTGCCAACACTGCTAATCTTAGATAAGCTACCTAACAGAGAGCCTGTTGTTGTATTAGAGCCTTAAATAAACAAAGCACCTAAAGTCGATTCAAAAATGTGTAATGTCTGCTGTTATTTATTTTAAACTTATTCATTACTATGTCTCATTTTAGTACCTAAAACCAACAACCTTAGGTTTAATCTAGGGAATTTAAAAAACCTTAACATTGGCAGATAATACATGGAAGCAGATGTCTTACCTTAAGTAGGTGTGGTAGGTGACTTGCAGTATGCACAGTAACCATCTCAGTGCAGGTTTGACAGGAGTGTCGCAGAGCAACACCTTTATAGCCCTGTCTCCTCCCATTGTTCTTTGTTTAAGTCAGTGACATCATCTACATCCAGGAAACCAGGAAGACCTGCTGTGTTAGAGATGAAACTGCCGACTCATATTTCTCAACGGCAAAGTAATGTGATGGTAAAACGGCTTGATTACAGAAAAGATTATTGTAATTACTCTGATTACAGAACAGTTTAAGAAAAAGGAAGAAAAGTATTTTATTTGAATTCAGTATGCAATAAAATAAGTACAAAAATTTAACACTTCTTTTTTAAAACTATGTTCACCGATAGAGATATCGGCTTTAGCTTCCGAATAGAACTTGATATCAAATAGACAACTTTGTTCAATTCAGCTGCGGTTTCACCTTTCCCCTGGGTGTGACCCAGGGTGCGTTTTTCCCCCTGGGTGACACCCTCCCAACTCTGCTATATAAAGCCATCATGCAGCAGACAAACTCTCACTGCTGTCATGGCTCAGCGCAGCTCACTGGATGAGTCTGTCGGCATTCTCAGCATCTCTGCAGGTAAAGAATTCATTTCATGTTTTTCCCCGACATAAGTAATCGCTTTTTGTGGAGTAATCGTCAGCTAATTTATTCTAAGCAATAGTGTTAAGCATATCCTAAAGGATTTAACCTGAATCTTGTTTGCAAAGGATCAGTTTTTCCTTCATTGTTAAATTATGGAAAGGTTGAATCTGGAAAGATAAACTATACATATTAGACAGCAGAGCAGTTCTAACAATGGTTTATTGCCAATATATAACATTTACATTCTTACAAGTGCTTATATTTATAGTGCACAGCTACTTAAACAGCAAATGAAAACCCCAAATTACGTTTCCCAGAAAAAAATTGTAATGTTACATGGCTTTTTTTTTAATGCCAAATGATTATTAATAAAGAAATGTTACATTTTGGCCCATAAAATCTTGGAATAGAGTGCTGAATTGACAGTTCAGCACTCTAATCAAAGTTTTTTTGTGGAAAAAGTAAGAAAGGGCTGATGTTTACTGGCAGCTCTGGATAACAGTTTTTTGACTTTCAGGCTCTCTCCTGCTGCTGGTGAACAGCTATGCCAGCACTCCTGAAAAAGACTTCATCCCCCACACTGCGCTGGGGATCTTACTCCTCATCATTGCTGCCCTGATAGCTTACACAGGTTTGTTTCACCTCATAGATTTGAATTCCCTGCTTTTTTCCCAGCCTCCTGACTCTGTCCTGTATCTTTCTAGGTGTCCGTCACAGTCTGTCCCACTCCCGGCTGTTTTCCACTCTGTGTCTGACCATCTCTGCGCTGTGGTGTGGGTTGGGTCTGGTCTACATCCTGATAGGACAGAGAGTGGTACCATTCACAGAGCTAAAATCCTCTTTGATTCCTGGGCTGGCAGCATTTACCTTAGCCCTGTTCATCATTGGCACTGCAGCCCTCTTTGTGAAGACACCAGTTCTCCTGGTTATAGCTATCAGCATTTCTTTAGCCTGTGCTCATCAAATCGCTGCTCTGTCAGATTCAGACTTCGGTCAGTCTGCCACAGCTGCAAACTACCTCCTTGTTTGTCTTGTGTGTGCCTATTTTGGCTTTGGGCGTTTGCTGTACACCATCACACAGGGTAAAGTGAAACCCCCAGGAACAATCATGAAATCTGAATTGAAAACGGAGCAAAACCAGAGCTGCAGTGATGTAATGAGTGTAGGTTTGGTGATGAACTTGTTATCTGCCTCTGTATTAGCCTGTCCCCTGGTAGGCGTGGTCCCCCAACTCTCTGTTGGCCATGTCCCCTGGCTCTGGACAGCTGGAGTCTTCCAGCTTGGCATGTGTGTCCTCTGTTACCGAGCAATGGACACATTAGCTGCAACTTTCTATGGTTTTACATCTCTGCTAAAATTTGCTGAGGGTTACAGCGCTCTGTTATCTTTGTACTCCATTCAGCCGTTCTCCCCGGTTCCCTTCCCTGTTGTCTTTGCGGTTCTTTTCTCTGTCCTGGCGCTGTTCAGCTGTCAGAAGAGCTTGTTGGATGGCCTCTACCAGTTATTCTTTGTAGCCTATTGTATTTCCATCGCAGCCCAACCTCAAGGCTTCTTCCAAGGTGGCACTCAGGGTGTACAAGGAGCTATCTTTGTAGCTTCTGCTGGAGTGCTCTTTGTTACAACATTCAACATGGTCTCCAGTACCAAAATTCCTACTGGGCAGGGACACTTCAAAGCTTTAGTAACCAGAATTAGCAGTCTTACTCTCAGGGCTCTGGATAAAGACCGGCATACACCTCACCTCGGATACTCCAAATATGCAGATGCAGAAGTGTTGGGCCACGCCTGCAATGTTCTGGCAGCTTTTGCCATCACAGCCACGATTGGGGACAGGAATCCTCTGACTGTGCTGGTTTTGCCCTGGGCAGTGATGGCTGGTGGAGTGTTGCAGCTCCTGTGCGGTTCGGTGGCGTTTGCTC